GTGCATTTAATGTCAGCAGCACTCGTGTAAGTGATAAGCTTAAAATAGAAAGTGTCCAACGATACTTCACGTCTAAACTTCTAGGGTTCGACTGCGAAAAGGACTACACATCAAGGTGTATAACTATAGGTATCGACCCACTCTGGATGAGACGATTCAGAATTAATCTAACTTTCTTCTTTAAAGTCTTGTATAAAATATCATTCTCAGACAGTAAGGAGATACAGTTCTCACCGGAAGGCTCTTACAACCTTCGTAGTCAAACGTGCACAGTATCTAGGAAAAACTGTAAGACAGCGCTCCATGCAAACTTCTTCATAGTCATGTACTCTAAGATCTGGAACAGTTTATACCTAGAAATAAGGAGCTGTCACTCTATTATAACCTTCAAACGCTTGCTATATAAACTGTTTCATCCCATTGATTATGCCAATCAGACCGCACCACTTATTTCTAAAATGCATCAGCTATTAGAACACTATAACGCCTAGACTTACTACTAAATATTATGACACTAAATAAGCTCTAAGATTTCGCAAAATACATGAAAACACAACTAGAATATAGGAAATGTTTACGGTTATATATATTTATAAGCATTTATATATACATAAAAACATCAATGTTCTTTTCATGTTCACATACTTTCTCTTTCTGATATTCTCTTGCTGAGCCTACACTTATACATACCTCCTGGTCGAGGTCGAACAACCCTACATTTAAACTGAAATGACCATTTAAGTAAATTCAAACTCAAATTCCATGAATGATCCGATGCTACCATTTGAAGATACTGGTCAACATTCTGTACAAGGAGTATTCTTGATCTGAAATAAAGAAGCAACTGGTTTTCAAACAGTTTTCAATGTATTACTCAACTTACGTATACGGTGTGCCATGCTGATACAAATGGCGCCAATGGATAGTTCTGGAATCGACCTTGGCCCCATTCCATGCAGTAAAACAATCTAACATGACCTTATCTAGTCTTCGTATCCACGATCAAATTTCTTTCCTATTATAAAACTGAGATTAGACTGCTGAAAGAAATGGAATAAATACATCGCTGACCTCAAAATAATACATCAATATTCCTGCAAATGTAGGACACACAAGTTGTATAATAATAATAATAATTTACTTTATTCCAAAAACAGTACTTATAATACAGAATGGAATTCTCAGCATTTGTCACAATATTGCATCTGATTTACTCAAAGTGTATATAAAATGAAAAATTTAAAACAAAAATTAATCGGAGAAATTTGTCCACATTAACGACATAATTATTAGATACAGTAATAATAATAATAGTAATAATAACAATAAATACTAATAACAGTGAGTTTGTTTCAAACGGTATTGTCGATTCAGTTTGGAAACTTTAGCATGCTATAGATTATTGGGTCTAATGTTCTGTTGATATGGTATAGTGAGGTGAAATACAAAGTTAGCAGTCATAATACAGCTTAAAATTATGTCCACAGTTATGAAAATAAAATAAACAAAACGAAAAAATTGAGAGGATTATAAATATAAGAAATACAATAACAATAAAGTATGATGCTTTAAGGTTGAAAGAAATGGTCTATTTAGTGGAGCTAAAAAGGTTAGTTAGTTCATTTCTGACACTATTTTCATCACATAGAATACGTGCTAAATATGGTATAGTGGAATTTTTATACTTAGACGTACGTGCATAAAGTCTTCTGAAAAGACTTCTTGTTTTACCTGAGGAGACACAAGGTTGGAGCTGCGGGTAGAGTGGGTGCTCAGAGTCTGACAAAATTCCTCTAGCGAATCTGTTGCATGACATCAAAATTGCCTGAATAGGAATGATGGACTAAAACAGAATCTGACCTGGTTACAACACCTCCCTCCCCCCATCAAGTGACAAAACCAACACGAATGTGATAAGCACTTTCATTATGTAAACACACGCTGCTTTTATAATCTCATACACTTATCAAATCCAATAATCTACACATGATGATTTTGTTATCTTTACCAATTCACCAACTTAACAACTAAAAAATGCCCCAGACAGACGAACGATGATCAAGTTAGTAAACTTTTCTTTCTTTTTTTCGATATCATAACAGACATACTATTACCTTTGTTATTTGGTATAGTTATCTTCATCGCTATTTTTACTTTCAATATGTCCCTTTAACTTGATCTATGTCTATTTTCTCACCCCCTAACTGTTTGTTATATATATGCTGAGATTTTGTAAATTCCGGTTTAATAATACTTTGATAAAGCTATTAGCATTAAATAGCGAAACGTCAGTAAAAACAATATCGTTTTGTTTTTCATTCATTGGGAAATACAAAAACCTTTACTATTATGTCTTCTGTTGTCTATTGCTGAAATATTTTCACTTTTAAAATGGAGTTGAATGAACCTTGGCTTTTTTCTCACTGTGATTTGTTTGGTATTTCAGCCTTTACGTCTTTTTTACTTGTTAATGAAGTTCTTAAGGTAACCGTTGTTTCTGAATAACTTTTCGAGAATCGTATATTCTTCCTGTAATTACTCTTCAGAGCATATTCTTCTAGCTTTATTGTTCAGAGTTTTGACTAGTTCTAATTTGTAGCTATTTGGATAAAAACAACTTAAATACGAGCATCCAAAAATATCCCATATCGTTTTTCCGAGCTAGTATAAACCAATTTGATTTCTTTGTGCTCGCCTCTTGATTGTGAGGTATAGGTTCCTGATCTTCGGTAAACTTCTGCGTACCTCGTCCCGCCACTGGACTGTCGTGGCTTTGGTTGACTCCAAAAGGAGTAGTGCAGTGGCACAGTGGTTAGGACTCTCACCGACCATGCACATGGTCCGGGGTTCGATCCCCTGCCGACGCACACCCGATATCTATGGTCGGCCTGCGAAATTTGGGCTACCGATATCCATGCTGAAAATTCCATACTTGTACTGAAAATACGGTGTGGCATCAAGCTGTAACCAAAAATAAAAAATAATTATATGTGGTTTGTAGCATGAGATGTGTTAAGACCGTTACTACTGTGAATGGAGTTGATCCTTTCACCAGTTAGTCCTCTGGCATCGTCGTCAAAAGAAAAGAGATAATAATAATAATAGATATAATTAGTGAAGTTATTCAGACTAACAGACAGAAAAGGAATAAGAAAACGTAACAACAGTCAGCTGATTAAATTTGAAGAATAATATGAATAATATATGTATACATATATATATATCGGCAATAACGGTAATAATAATAGGTGCAGTTAAAGGTGTCAGGAGAGTAAGACGGGAGAGAATGTAAAGAAGTAAAACGACAAGTTTAATTGTCTACCCTTGAATGGTGTATGCGATTTTAAGGGGATAGGCCATTTGGATGCAGTCCTTATGTCCCTGCATCATCTATGTCGTGTCGGCTTTCTGTATATTGACCCCCAATAAGTGATATCTTCCATTATGTGAGCTGGTATTCCTTTGAAGGAATTGACGTTTAGATACTACCAATTGGATTGAATGAGGTCTTACCGATAGTTTTTGCGCGTTAGTAGTTCAGAGGTAGAATACCCACTGACCGCGCTCGTGGTCCCCAGCAGAATCAGTCCTGGTACTAAGGCTGACAAAAAAGGAAGCCTGGACATGAGACCAGCAACCCCATCACTTTAAAGCATCCCTGTTAGTGAAACTTCAAATCAGATGCTTGAAGCCCTATGTTTCCCTTCGAAAGAGTAGGAAAAAATAGAAAAGTAAAAGACAGTCATGCTACCTCTGCCTTGACAAAGAAGACATTTAAATCTAAAACGAACGAATGAATAGTAAAATAAGTGGATAATTGGTAATCAGTCTGTTGATACATAAATTGTTTTTAATTCTGTATTGACGATTCTACATCTTAATTTGATCAGCAACCATTTCAATCTTCTTTTGTCCTGTGCATTAAACGTACTGTTGAAGCTTTTAGTCGGCCTTTTCTAAGATGAAAGTCATTTGCTTTTCCATTGGTAGTGGCAAATCATTAGCCGTCAATATATGTTTTCTGTTAGGTCACGGCCCTCGGCTAATCCAGTTTCCCATACATTTTTCGCCATTATTAGGTTTAGACAAAAACTGTTAATTAATTTGATGATAGTGGGCATCATTTTAGGTATGGTTGGCCAAGTTGCAGAGAATCAAGGAAATTAATGGAACCTTAATGCGTTTTGATAATTCAGCTGGTTATAAACCTGCTGGATCCTACTGCTATTGGCCAAGCAAAAGTGTTACGATCCGTTAGTGTCTAATGAATAACGTCAGTTGTTGCTATTTTGTGGTGTAGATCCACTCTTTCATGAATTTATATCATTCCACCTAGCTAGATATATCCACAACATTTTTCCAATATTACTGTGGTGAAGTTGGAAGTATCCTGTCAAAAATGGGAACGTTTCCCAGTAGGAAAGATTTGTCGACTGTGCAGCCTAGACGTAGGTCTCTATAGAGTATGTGCCCTGATCACTGACAGTGATGAGGTTTTTGTTGGGCCTGACAAGTGATTAGCCGTGGAATTCGATAAGGAACCTGAGGAAATATTCTTGGATGAAATAATTGAAGCCAATTATCTCATAGGCAATCAACGGAAAAGGGGCTGTCTCTGTGGTGGTACTCCGGGCAGAAGGTTCTACATCCTGGCTACATCATTCAGTAGAAAGGAACAAATCCAGTGTTTTCCAGAGATAAAAAAATCAGCTTTCCTTAGGAAAATGCTACTTAAAATATTATCCTTTTTAATGCTACTTTGGGACAGATTTTGGACTTATAGATTTGTCAGCCATGTGAAGCTGAAAGACGATCATCGACAGTGGAAAGTCAGTGCCAAGGATTTATTTGATGATGGAGAATGATTAAATTGGACTGGATGTTATGGTGGGAATTTTGAATGTAGCGTAGCTCTTGTTAGTGTCAATATCATGTTGGATTTTGAGCAACAGGAATTGAAAGTTCATGTGAATTAAAGTAAATTAGAGTATTTCACTATCATGGATGTTAAAAACTTGCCGAAACGTCTCGCAGAATACTTTGTCATCTGCGGTTTGCCGAAAGATCCCAAGACTTATGATGTTTCAAAGGTTAGTTACGCAAAACTGTGACTTACTTTATTTCTCAGATTATCACCCACACCGAGGAAATTATTGCGCCTGAAGCGTCAATTGACTTCACCAGATTTCCGGAACCGATTATCGACATTAAGGTAAAGTTTATACAAATTATCCATCGATTCAATTTTTTTTTGTAGATCGTTAGTTTAAAAGAGAAAGAGGAAGTTCCTGAAGGATATACACGCATTAAATATAGCGTTTCTGGGAAACACAAGGCTAACATTATGCTTAACTTTGGCGAAGAGGCTTGTATCTGTTATCGAAGAGGGCGTGACCTACCATACATAAAGGATATCGAGTAAGTGTTTATGATACTGATAGCTTGTTTTTGTGTTTTCTCTTCGCCTAGTTGATATTTTTCATCTGATATTAGATGTCCCGTATCTGAGTGCGGATTACCATTATCTTGTAATATTCGTGTATATACCAACATGCTCTAGTGGTGAAGTGTTTAGTGATTTCAAAATTATTGTACTTCCTTCAGACGGTTTGAAATACACCGCAAGTGTTAGCTTTGCACGTTGAACAGTCAACTCCTGTTAGTCATAGTTTAACATCATCTGTTTCAATTTCGTCTTTTACAGCCTTTATGATTAAAATGATGTGCTTTTTCATTTCACTGTAATGCAGACAGTGGTCTGGAAGCATGTGTAGTCAAGAGTCTGTTAACTTTTTGTATCAACAGTCAATTGAAAGGCTATGGATCTACGGTAAATAATAACCTGGGGGAAGTTGGAAATTCCTCCGGTTCATATCATATCTTTTGTTTGGTAGGCCATGGAGAACAGGTGTAATTACCAGCCTACATAACTCCTCCCGCTTGTTAACAAAATAATAGTTCACAAGAATGCCTGTTGAGAGGCTATTTGACAGTATCTGGTTTTGGAATATGTATTCAAGGAATATACTATTCCAATTGCTTACGCTGAGTTACTGTTGATTACAGTCAACGATATCCTCTGTGTAGGTAGTCGTGTTTAATGTCGTGTGGATAACTGACTTGCTGCGAAGGAGTTTCCTAATTTGGAGAACACACCATATATATATATATGCGGTTCTTTTAGATAAAAATGTCTTTCGAACGCTTTTAGAAAGAACTTGAGTTTGCCGTCCCTGTCAGTTTCAAGACAGTGATACAGGATTGATTGGGGAATAAAGTGGTTAAGGGTATTGATTGCTTCACTTATTTAGGATACTACATCAGTCCCAGTGAACTGATTTCTAGCGGAATCTCAGTTTGGACACAAAAGGCTTGTGTGGTGTTTGCTAAATTACGTCATCTGTGGTGTAGCTGTGATATCCAGTTATCGATCAGAAGTGTACAACACAGCAGTTCTATCTATCCTGTTTTATGGTTGTAAGACGCGACCTTTAAAAGTGGATGACTTGAAGACACCACCGTTCAAAGGGTGTGTCGTGGCATATAATGTGTGTATGAGAAAACTAGAGGATTTCTACGACAACATTCTTTGTAGAATTGGCATCGGTTGTTGGAGACCAACTAATCCAGACATGTATACCACAGATTTTTATCTCAGTAAGCAGAAATGGAACATGCTCTCTAAGCTAGTAGATAGAAAAGGAAAGGAATCTTCTATGTATTTCCCTAAGTTACAGTATAGATGAGCTCTGAAGCGCTTCAAACTTCTAATCGCACCTACTTTCCTACCAGGTTTCATACAAGTGTGAACGTTATGAGAAACTTTGATGATGCCTACAGTGTCAGAAAAGTTGTGTTATAATTATCACATTACACGACTGTTTAGAGACTGAAGACCTTACAGATAAGTTGATTTTTTTTAGACAAGTTTAAGCAGCGTAGTGAAAATTCTACAGGAGGTCTGGTAATACCGTAAGCTGATAAAAGGTTGACTATATGACTCATGAGACAGTGTGACTAATCAGATATCAGCAGAGTTAAAAATAACCTCACTTGTTGTGCAATAAATATCAATCAAGAGGCCTACATTTACTCTTTGTTGTCTAATCAGTTTAATCGAATTTGGTATTTGGTGAAATGGCTACCTTTCTGGTCATGCTACTTCTAACTCTAACGAAAGCTGCCTCATTTCGTTTCTTACATTATTTTTTTCAAATGGATCTGCGTATCCTGTTTTCACCAGATGTTCTTTTACACTTACGTCCTTCCTTTTGTTAACCAGGCTGGATAGTGTTCTCGAGCGCGTTTCATAAGAGGACGCGTTGTACAGTCAATGTAGTCAGCTTCACAGGAGCAAGTGAAATGGTATATGCATGTTGATGTCTTTTAATACGACAGCTTGTCTTTCATCTACTGGCTCAGTGGTGTCTTGGAAAAAAGTGTCACGCGTAGGTTACCAGTGACCTACGTTTTACCGAGAGATTTTAAAAGTCGTTTACCAAGAATTTCTGCCTCAGTATAACTTTTAAATTTAAGATTTAGCGGCAGAATATTTTCGGGGGCTGTATGGACCTGCTCAGAAGCTTTCTTTGGTTTGGTTCCAGGTCCTTGTTTATGGATCTGAGGCACGATATGGTGGGGGTGGAAAACACTTTCCGCCCAGATTCTTCGGAGACTTTGTAGCTCTTCGTCAACAGATTCCTCGGCGCATATTTTCTGGATCTTTGAGGAAAGAGAATAGCTGAGATTCTTGTTTCTGCCTAGAGGGATGGGATTTTCGAAATCAGTAACCTGTACATTCCATGTAGGCAGTGATCAACATTTTTTCGCATTTGAACATCAGGAAAATAGGACATCTAATCAAACTTTAATAATAATAATAATAGCTTTATTCTGAATAACATTTATATGATGTCCAGAATTTTCAGCAGACTTTATTGCATGATATTTTCTCTTCATCCACGATCTTCAAATAAGAGATTGATTGAAAGTAGATCGAGTGACACAATCCTATCTGACCTGAAGCATTACACATCAATCCATTATGATGATATCTCTTCACTGTCTCCTTCGAGAGATACATGATTACATTTTGTTGAATGCAAGTTATAAAAAGCTCAGGTGTACACATTTTTTTTGAACCGATGACACTGCTGAGGAACAGTCATCTAATATACTGGGATTAGCTGCCATCGTAGAGACTAGTAGAAACTTGTGAATTGGTAGGTTGTAAGTGTTTTAAATACTCACCAGAGTAAATATTACTATTAGAAATCATATTTTACTATATTAAAACAAAATGAACAGGAGAAATTATCTGCAATATGCAATGATGGAGGTTTTTTCGGTAGCCCAAGCTTTTAGCAGGCTGCCAACTTCCTAACTTCCTGTGTGTGTTTTTCTTATTATTCGTTATTATTAACATTTTTCTGTATTTCTGTTAATGCGTTATGATAGTACTTTAGGAGATAAACAATGCCCAAAGAAAAATACAGTAGTTCTGTCAAAGACTATTGGTGGTCGTGATGCTAATATGCTTAGTACACTAACAAATCGTTTATTTCTATCATATCTACGTGGTAATCCAGAGAATAGTATTGATTCACTAGCTGTAACTGATCTATGCATTATAATTCCGGGGAAACAAGAAACTTGTCCACCTGCCTATCGACAAGTTACAGAACCGATATGTATAAGTTCAGTAAGTTTTTTGTGTGCGCGTGTGTGTTATCTTAAATGGCATTATTATTACTATTATTATTATTAGTTTTAACTGTGGATTGTATGTACATTAAGTGTCAATAGTCTAACAATTAGAACTAAACCTCCTTTTTTATGGGTTTTTGTAATTTTCTTAAAGTACATCTTTTTGTGTTGTAATCTGATGTAATCCCACCCTGTTGACTGGTGCCAGTGCTCACGAACAAAACCTAAGTTAGGTAGAACTTCCTGCCGATTGTCTCCAACCATCTGACATCAACTAAAGATAGATAATTATATTATAGGTGTTTGTTCACAAGTAGACATCATTTAGAGAAAACCACTGGAAAACCAGCAAGGTAATATTGGATAGGCAACTGTTTCATCCTATTTTGGAGCTTCACAACAGTACAAATTCACCACCAGGGTTCAAACCCAGGACCTTCCGGTTACAAGGCGAACGAGCTCGTAGATCATTCAACTACAAAGGAACCCTATCAGATAACCCATGAATTTTAACTTTTGCCTATTTGCCATGTGTGTATATGGCGCAACTGCCAGCTAGTGTCATAGGCGAGTAACTGTCGTCTTGCTTGACTTTGGGGATCCTGCTGGTTACAACTTCCCACTAGAATTCCAGGGAACTTCCTGCATAGTGCAAGTCACTAGTGAGCATCATATTAATTATCAGGTGTTGGTTTGTAGGGATTTGATTGGTTACTGGTTTGACCACGAGTTGGCTGGCTAGCGGTTGCTATATATACATATATACATATATCGTGAATTGACAGAAGTTAGAATTCACGGGTCATTGAATCTCACCCGCGTGACTGATGAATCAAATGGATAGCCTCGTAACCTTCAGGTCGTGTATTCGACCTCTGGTGAGGTGGTGGATGTAAACTACTGAAGTGTTTCAGGCTTAGGGGATGAAATAGTTGTCCACTAGTCTCTGGCCTTTTAGTAGTCCTCAAATTAATGTCAGTCTGACCTCATTTATTAACAGAGTATTGTTGCTGTAGTAACCAGTAGAATAAAATCTTTTTGTATGCTATTCTTTTCGACTCTGTTTTCAGTGAAGCCTGTTTTTTATACTGTAAAAGTATCAGGATTTATATTTCCAGCCGCAGAGTCTCGGATAGGAGCTCGTCGTGTGACCGGAAGGTCCTGGGTTCATACCTCTGAGGAGTCCGAAGCTGGGAAAAAACAGCTGATTTTCCGATAGTCCCTGGTTTTCCATGGTTCTCAAACTGACATCATCCCGTTATCAAACGAGAAATAATATTATTACAGGATTTCATCATAAACTGACATCAGTTAGAAAAACACTGGAAACCAGCAGGAAGCACTGAGCAGCTGTCTCGTAGTTTGGGACTCTTCATCAGTACGCACCCGCTGGGGTTCAAACACAGAACCTTCCGGTTACAAGGCTAGCAAGCTCATAGATCATTAGGCCACTTGGACCCGATCCAATAGTCCATATCGTGAATCGGCAGAAGTTGGAATTTATGGGCTGGCCACTGGGTCAGGTCTCAGTTGCTTAATGGTCTACGAGCTTGCTAGCCTTGTGACCAGAAGGTTCTGGATTCAAACCCCTGTGGTGGGTGCGTACTGGCGAAGAGTCACAAACTAGGACGAAACAGTCGACTGTCCAGTACTCCCTTGTTGATTTTCTAATAGTCCTCTAACCGAGATATCAGTTCATGATGAAATCCTGAAACCAATCAAATCCCTATAAAGCAGCACTTGAATAATAATATTATTATTATTTTAGATAATTAACATCCCAACCTTTCTATCCATTGTTGTTTCTTTTCCAATTTTTAGTTTCGACTAAAAGCCTATATATGTTATCGAAAATCACTTGTAAAACAATGCATTATCTCTTATGAACCTGAAGTATTATATTGGTATCGTGTACCAAACACTATGGATTATGATTTTACTGATTTGGATAAAAGATATAAAGAAGAAACTTCAAAGTGTTCTCTGCCCTCATTGAGTAAGCCTGAACAATGCAGTGACCAGGTGAATAATGAGGCATTGGATAACAATAGCTCAGTTGCTACAGATTCACCACCAGGTATGTTGAAAATTTTTTTATTCCTTCCGAGCAACTGAGTAGATTCTATAGAGTTATTCGGCTTTTTAATTTATGAGTGTACTGATGAGTCGTGTTTCAAGACTCTTCGCTTAATGTGAGTGGTATAATTAACCCTTATACTAGGATGTGCGTTGTTATTCCCTTAGGTTCCCAGTGGAACAGGGTTCTATTAGCGGATCTCCATTTCATTATCATCTCTGCAGTCCTCCTTACGCGATTCTACGACTGCTCATAGGCTCTCATCCCCCTCTTTACACGATTTCCTCCCTGTTACTCTCGGAAGCCCGTTTGAGTTTTTACTCGAGAGTCTACCTGGCGTGTAGTGTCACTCAACCTTCTCCTTAGCATATGTCTGGTCCATCTTCATTTCCTCTAGTTCGCAGACAGAGTTCCTTGCCACTTATCCTTTCTGATTGGTTATCTGCTCTTCAGTATGCAGAGAAATGGGCAGTTGTTGATGAAAGTTTTCAGTCACCTGTTTGGAATGCTTTTGGTGACGCTTGCCTGCCTCAAGTTTCTCAACTTGACATTCATGTTAAAAATCCGAATCTTTTTCTGTATACTTAGTGCAGTAGATTTACAAACTGGTGTCAGAATAATGCTGAAGGACTATCTTGCTTCTCCAATCCCAACTCTTTATTTGTGCCATCACCCGTAGTTGTAACGATTCTGACCTCCTTCAAATTTCTCCCGTTCATACTGGTTGGTACAGTTTAAAATGTGTTTACTCTATGCAGCTGTGTTAGGCCCTATGATCCAGTTAGAATACAAATAACGAAAATATTGGTGTGCTGTATTGTGTTTGAAAAAAAAGTGTCTCATTGTATTTCAACAGACTCTGAAATAGTATCCCAATCTGATTTCTACTTCTGTTTACAAATTGGTTGACAAATATAATTGACTGACTGGTTTCAGCATAGACCTTTGCACAGATGTGCACCAGTTCAACTTGCCACTCTCCCCCTATGTAGCACATAAAGCAAGAGAAGAGAGTAAAGAGAGAGGTATTAAACAAAAGTGTGAGGGAACAATATCATTTTATTGTATATGACAAATCACAAAGAATGAGTGAATGCATCTGCGTCAGTCATTTGACAACGATGATTTTCAACCATATCACCAATTGTTTCTAGTCTTCATCGGCTCTTATCATCACGAGGTCCTAAACCGGCCAGCCAGTCTGCACCTCCCTACGTGGCTGGATGGCTGGCTGGCTCAAACTAACTGTTATAGATTTCATTGACTGATGAAGACATGTTTTGATTTCAACACCGCCACTAGTTCTTCTCCAACAACCTGATCTATCCTAGGTCAGTTAACATTTCCTGTTGTCGAGGAAGGTGATGGCTGGCTAGAGACATAAATAACACATGTCCTAACCATATAAATCGATGTAACTTCACGGTCTCGTCGACTGATTATCCCTCCTTGAATTAGCTAGCCACTCGACGTCTAACCAACTGAATATTACTCACCCTATTATACTATACCACCACGTCAGACGGGAGATGTAACTCAGACACCTATGTGATCAAAGACAGCTGGTCTTCCCATATCTTACAGTTTCAATGGCCATGCTTCACAGCCATATAGCAGGACGGAACGAACCGCTTACTGAGCAGTACACACGTCTCTGGCCGACAGCTGGATATCATGTCTACTCCAGAGATGGCATAAGTTTGCAAATATTGAACGAACCTTCTGTATCCGTGCTGAGATTTCGTCAGCGATCAACCCGCTGGTATTGGCTGATGCAGCTTCCCGAATAAGTGAATTGGTCAACACCCTCTACCAACAACTTCACTTCTGCCTGTCTTTCAGCTAGGAGTCGATATAGTCCAGTCCAGTCCAGTCCTGTAGCATTATCTTACATGTTACAATAGGAGTGAATCGCACACCAAACATTCGAAGATTTCTGCACCTCAAGGTGTTCAAAAGACTGTTCGGCGAGTATGGCATAGAATATAGTATGATTCTCAAGTTAATTAGGCAGAATTCGTAGTAAAATCAGGCTAAATAATGACTAGTAAACTGATGTCAAGGGTGACGTCGATAAAACCTATAGCTCCGAAGGATGAAAGGCTGTTAAAAGCTATACAAATTTAGTTGTGTAAGTATATTCACTACAATATCACAATTTCCTGCCCTTGATGTTGATGAATACTTGTAGGTACTCAGCAGGAAATGTCTGTCAAACTCTTGATTCTCATTCAACTACTGTACATCCGCGAAATGAAATGTGTAATCTTACTGAGGCTGTCTCTGTGAAAGACTTGTGTTGTTGTCCACTATGTGAATGTGTAATCAGAAATCTCTGTGGTTCACTGATGAATATTTTCTATAGAACACAAAATAATTGAGCAAAGGATATCCTTTTCGATAATTTCCTCTTCTGGCTCTACAATTATATATATATATATATATATATATATATATGTTCATATACATAGAATATTCTAGTTTAGTAGTCAGTAAAAATATTAGTGTTTTTTTTATATAATATCGATTTGTTAGGTAAGATCACAATGGAATTACAGTTCATTAAAGATGCTTAAATTACAGTAATAATAATATAATAGCAAATGGAATATCAGCTAAAATTAGGAAAATTCCACAAAAATTGAGGGTGATTCAAACCCAGATGGTCAAGATAAGGACAATGTCTGAACTAACTTCTTTTGGACACATAAATTAGGCTGCTTAATGTGGATCCCAATGGCCTCAGCAATATTTAGTAGTCGAACTCTTAAGGCGAAATTGAGATTTGTTGGTATGCGGTAAATGACCATGAAAGCATGGTTAACATCAGTCTTGTGTTCTGTATCCACAAGATGAGATAGAATAGCGCCACGAGTAGATTTTGTTTGTCCTTTACTTAACCACACAGGGTGATGTTCGAAAATTCGACGAGAAACATGCCTATTTGTACGGCCTATGTAACTGTCTCACTTCACAGGAGCAGTTAAATTAGTAGATACACATGGAAGAGGTGAAATTAGGCAGTTTGTCTTTTACTCCCGAACTCAAAAGAGGAGTGCTTTTGAAGGCACAGAGCAATTCGGCAGCAGGGAATGCTCTTTTTACCGCATTTCTAAGGCGCTGTGTTAGTATCTCGCTGTTGTCCCCAAGGAACTGCATTTGTAAGAATAAGGCCTTTTTAGAAACTGTTGGCACCTTGGGCTGCTTTGATTTTAGATTCATATTCTTACCAATAAACTTTTCTGGATAACCGTTTTCACTAAGCAACCGTTCAATATTATTAAGTTCCTCATCAAGACATTCATCCAAGCAGATTGCCCTTGCTCTGTGGACCAAGCACTTTATCAAATTGCGTTTGTATTTCAAGGGCACGAAGCTGTAAAAATGAGTATACTGACCCGTCGATGTAGGCTTTCTATATACACTTCTTCTTATTGTGGAAGTACATCCCGATGATACTCCTGATTGTGGTGGACTGTAGGGAGTGAGAAGACAGGCAAATTTGGGACCGATAAGAGAACTCTAGAAGATTTGAACTTCTTAGACGAGTTATATCTGATGTCACAGAGACTCGAGAATTCGCAGACGAAAACCAACACGTTGTCAGAAGAGACAAGCAACAAAGACATGACTTCAAGTGAACATAGGGATGACAAAGGTTATGAAGATACTCGACCGGCAATAACCACAACAAGCACCAATCACTGTCGACAGGAGGGATTTTAAGGAGGTCATTTCTTCCACTTATCTGGCCAGGCAGCATCGTTTCACCTAGAGGCGGCACAGATGAAGTTGTCAAAACCAGATAGTATCGGAAAGGCAAGAAGCATCTTAATTAATTTGAAATCACTGCAGATATCTGGAGCCATTTAGCATGAATAACAGGATTCGGATTTTCAACACAAATGTGGAGTCAGTTCTTCTGTATGCTTCAGAGACTTGACGCATGCGTCACAGAAAAAATAATTTCCAACAGGCTATTGTGAAAACTTATAAGGAGTTACCTTTGCTAGTTCAACACTAAAGGTCAGCTTGACTGTCTCGAAGAATAAGCAACAAAGAAGTCTGTCAGCGAACCAACCAAGAACCTATTGCCAGGCTGGGAAATCTGCCGAAGGAAATATAGGTACATTCTGAGAAGACCGTTGAGTGACATCGCACGCCAGGCAAACCGTCGAGTGGAACCCAAATGGGAAATGAATAGTTGTGTGTCCGAGGCTGACATGCATAAGATTATGTGAAGAGGAGGTGAGACCTCATGAGCAGTTGCGGAGGAGGACTGCAGAGGACAGGCGAAAATGGAGTTGTGTTGCTGAAGCCCTATATTCCACTCGTAAGCCAAGGGAATAATAATAATAATAATAAGTATAATAATAATAGATTCCTTTCCATTACTGTCTCACTAATCATTTATAATGTAAAAAAAGCTAATCAAGTTTTGAGTATGACATACAATGTGACAACTTCTCTACTAACAGATCATATTTCTAGCATTACACCTTGGTGGTCCTATGCGCTTTCTAAACATAACACCATCTAACGCCCTCCCCTCCACTTTGTCTCCCATTGCCTAGCTTTTCTTATTTTTATTCTTATTATGGAATTAAAGCACTCAGGGACTGGGCAGTGCAAAGTAGGTGGTAGGTTGATTAATCATTTCAACAACTTTTTGTAATCAGTCATATGATCGTTTAATCATCACCTGATGTGTTAATTAACAAATAAGTTGAATTACGTCACTAACAATTCCATTAGTTTATTACATATTAAAAAAAGAATGCTTGTTTCTTTAATAGTGTAGTTTATAAGGAAAATCTCAGGTATACATCATTTCATTTCTGCCCGAAATTCACGGCCGGTCCCAATGGCTGAATGGTCTATGAGCTTGCCCTGTAACTGAAAGGTCCTGAGTTCAAAACCCCGTAGGTGGTTATAATGTCAACAAAGACATCCACCGGGTTGCTAACCCAGAACCTTCCGGTTACACAAGGCTGGCGAGCTGTTAGACCATTCAGTCACTGTGATTTGACTAAATGCTCCATGGATTCTAGCGCAACTGGCACCAGCCAATGTCATGGGAGAGTGTATGTCTTCACCCGCCTCCAGGTGGATCCCACATGTCACGACTTTTGACTAGAACCCCAGGAGACTTCGTCCTGTAGCCAGTCACTAGCGAGCATTAAGTTAGTTTTCAGCAATTAGTTTTTAGCTGTCCAATGCTCCCTACTGGTTTCTGATGCTTCTCTAACTGATATCAATCCCTATAAACAAATTCATAAATATTTATGTTTGGTTGAACTGATGGATTAATGGTGACACTGTCTGTTGTGATAGTTATGTATTGTCGGCAGACTGATATGGATAAATGTATGTATGCTTGTGGGTGATACCGTCTAGAAAGATTCTGTCCAGCAGCCTTCTCGAATTTACTAATATGACTGTCTGTCAGCTGGTCGATCTACTCGACTTAATTGGTGCTAACCACCGGGCCATCGTTCCACCACTGGTCTGAGTCCTGCAGCGACCGAGATTCTGATTTCACTCACCATATCAAAAAGCAAGATATGGAAAAACCATTAAAATTGCTGAACACTTCTCTAAAATCTTCGTCTTTGTGATGGCGATAGTTAAATTAGTTGAATTCCTATGTTCCGATAATCTGACTACTCCCGATTTATTGGTCTGAATGACTTATGTGGTTGACCTCACAGTCATTGCAAGCTATTTCTTAGGTTACTTTATTTTGTCTAATTGTGTCAAAGGTGGGTCTTAGTCCATAGAATTTGTCCTTAGATGAGTTCGTAGGCTTCATCACCATCCTAATTCCGGTGTCAGGAAGAATCCTATCCAGGTTTTCAAACGTATTGCCTCCATATATGCTAAAACTGTAGATGTCTTAAATTCTTTCTTATTTACGTTTATGGTTGATGGTTTCACTACTATTTTCCTCTTCTTCTGAGCTTTTTCGATCTTTTTAATAACGTTATATAGGATGGTTATTTCGCATCCATAATTTTTCCTGTCAGTTTCATCATTTCGGTTTTCTGATGTAGTGCTTAGACAATTTGCTCGGTTTGTTAAACACTTAAATAAGCCGCCTGTCTGTCTGTTTTCAGCATAGAACTTTACACCGATGTGCAGCAGTTCAAGTCACCACACTCCATGTAGCACACAAAGCAAGAGAAGAAAGAAGAAGAAATGCAAAATAGAGACAGTAGACAGGAATATGAGACAAAAGGAATAGTAGTAACGAAGAACAATATAGTTTCATTGGGTATTATAAGTCACAAGGAGTGGATGCATCTGCGCCAGCCATTGAGCCATATCACCGATAATTGTCTCCAGCTTTCATTGGTGTTTACCGTCCCGAGGACCGCTACCAGTCAGGAAGTCTCTGCCTCCCTGCGTCACTGGCTTAAACTAACTGATGTGGATTTCATTGACTGATGCCGCCATGTTTTGGTTTGACCACCGCTAGCTCTTTTCCAGCCTGACCGACCCTATGTCAGCTAACATTTCCTGGTGTCGAGGAAGGCGATGACTAAGGATGCATGCGTAACACATGTCCTAACCATCTCAGTCGATGTGGTTTCACAGCGTCGTCGGTTGACTTCCCCTTTCACCTACCTAGCACTCGACGCCTCACCTCAATATTGCTCACCGTATTATACCACTTCACACGGGAAATAGAACGCACACATCTATGATCAAAGACAACTAGTCCTTTCATGTCTTCTGCTCTCAATGGCCAGGTCTCACAGCCATAAAGGAGGACGAAGCGGACCGCTGAGCAGTACACACGTCCTTTGATCGATAGCCAGCTGGATATCATGTCTACGCCAGAGAGGGCGTAAGCTGTCATATGCGAGACGAGCCTTCTGTATCCGTTCTGAGATTTCGTCAGCGATGAACCCACTGGCATTGACTGATGCAACTCCTCAAATAAGTGAAGCGGTGAACGCGCTCTACCACTTCACTTCCTATTTCTAAGCCAGGAGTGAATGTAGTTCAGTCCTGTAGCATGATCTTACATTTGGTGGGAGCGAATAACATGCCAAACATTCGTAGATTGCAACTCAAGGTGTTCAGAAGACTGTGCTCTATTTTGTCAGCGTCTTCACCTAGCAGAGAGGACTATATCATCTGCATATTCTAAGCCGCCTGCCTTTTACAGAAGACGAATGAAATGAATTAAAGTTTGAATATCTATTCGAGTGGCTAGAATATCAGAATCCCGAGATATCATGAAATGAAACAGTTAGAAACAGCATTGGTGGGAAAAACAATATGTATCCCATAAAATTCAGAGGTATATTATAGTCAGGTGGAAGGAGACGTTGATCACTGAATATCTCTGTTCATCGAATATACACCTAACAGCTGTCATGGCTAATAACTCAACACCCATATACCAGAGATATGCAAAGTGTTACTACCAATAAAATCGAAGGATAAGAAATGATAAAATCATATATGTGTTTAAAGACAGTTTGAAAGTTATCTGAGTAGTGTGGTGTGTGCTACTGATAAGATATGCCAGTAGTATATAAAGAGACTCGTCGACATAAAAAAAATAGAAGGAAGAGAAAGCATATGATTCAGCGTTACGAAGAAACATGGGATACCTGAAAGGAACGCAAAGAAACACAATTTGGAGGATGGAAGTAGCACAACACGGAGGATCTGTGCAAATGATCGCTGTATAGCGATGCTAAAATCCAAATATTCCTTTACCAAGTCTCTGGTTTTCCACCTTCACAGTAGTACCTTGATATTGCGATTATGCGCTATTATAAATGGTTTTCTAAATGTCATTATCACCGGTCTTATTACCGGCTTAGTGAGGTGAAGGAGCGCACCCGACTGGAGATCGAACCTTGAACGATATGTGTGGTCGGCAAGCAGTCTACCGCTGTACCACTGACACACTTCTGTCAGGTAGATTTATCCTATTCCATGCAGTTATACCCTTTTCCACAGTGGCCTAATTCTATTCTCACATTTTTCATTGCTTTTTTCTATTTTTTCTCTCCCTTGAATCTAAAATAAATCGTCAAAAAATGCCAAATGTCAACGACGAATGAAATTCATCAAGTGGCTCCACTGGATCCAGATATCTTTCAAGTAGCGAATTTTTGTCTTCCTTGGGGTGCATCAATTGAATCATGGTCGGTGAATCAAGATCCACCAGAAGTGAATTCTTTCACTTTTATGCTAACAAATGAATCTTATCAACAGGTTTGTTGTAGTTAATCTTGTTTTTTATACCCCGGAATTTTTGGGCGTCATTTTCTACTTGAACATATATATACATATATAATAACTGATATCTATTGTGCAAGAAGAGGTGGTGGCTCTTGTGGCGTAAATGGTTTAATGGATAGTGCTTTTTGGAGTTTGAAACGATGGGTAGTGGATTCGAGTTCCAGTTGAGGCGGGTAGGGGAACATCATCACACGTCTGAGAATTGCAGGCACATCCAACCGGATGAGTCTCGAAATGGGACGAAATATGTTCATCTTGAATTCTCCTACTAATCACCAAGCACCAAATATTTGTCTGTTGTTGTTTCTGCAGAAAACATGATGAAGAGAAACTATTGTAATAAGTTACGTTTATATTTATCGGATTTTTGATACCCACCAATTCAGTGACAGTGTCAAAGTCCCTCAAGAAACTCCTTATGCCTCCTTCTTCGGAAGCAGCACACCATGCAATCTTCATCGTCTAGAGGCAGAAGGAGAAGACAAGAGACTTGGTAACGGAATATACGCGTCGGTGGTACAGCGGTTAGGACGCTCGCCGACCATGCACATGGTCCGGGGTTCGATCACCGGCCGACGCACTCCTTTACCTCGTCGAGCCAGAAATAATGCTGGTGAAGAGGAAAGGTTGGGCATGAGGTTAGCAACCCCATCCTGTAAAATAAGCACTGCTACAGAAACTTCAAGCCATTAGCTTAAAGCCCTATGTTCCACTGGGGAACGTGAAGGAAAAAAAAACAAATCTTCCGTGTTGTGGTACTTCTGCCCTTCCTTCGTATAGTGTTTTTGTTTGTCTTATTCTTTTGTCTCTCATGTTTTCTCGCAACACTGGTGTTGTGTTGATTTGCTCTCCCTCTTTGACGTCTTTGCTATTTGATATATTTTATTTTTTGCCGATGAGATGGACGTCTCTTTTTAATACTACTAATAAACGTTATCAGTAGTACACGCCATAACAGGGTGGTTTTCCTTTCTATTGTTATTGAGCTAAGTGTCATCTATTGACTAAAATATGTGATTTTTAACAAAATAGACTGCGAGTTCAAACACGTCTATAGCACCGCCTACTATTCAGTCTCAAACACCTACACATCATTCATACTTATTAACTGTCATTTAGACAGTCACTACTTTGTTGTGAATGCGTGATTTATATATATATATATATATATATATATATATATATGCTTGTGTGTCTCGGTAGACTTTTTACTTTGTACTTCTTTATGACTATGAGACATGGACTTTGTAATGTAAGAAGATATATTATTATTATCATTATTATTGTTTCCTTTAGTTCCTAGAGGAACATAGGGCTTCAGACGCACATCTCCATTGCATTCGGTTATCTGCCAACGTTTTCATCACCTGACTCCACGTCTGCCTACATGCTTTCATCTCCTCTTCACATCACCTCCTCCATGTCACCCTCGCACTGATGACCAAATCGCCGCTTCCCGTTTGGTTTTCACTCGAGTGATGGCCTGGCATGTTATGTCACTCACTTGATGGTTTGTTTTCTCAGAATATGGCTAATCCACCTCCATTTCTTCCTGCATATTTCTTGCACGATTGGTTCCTACCGAGTTGGCTCGTTCATTGCCAGAGATCCCTGTTTCTGATGTTTTCTGACCAGCCATCTGGTCTTGAGTAGTATTGAACGAAGGCAACTGTTGATGAAGGTCTGTAGTTTGTTCGAAATGCTGTTCGTGACGCGGCACGGTGCCAAGTCTCTGATCCGTACAGTGAGTAGCACTGACTTCACATTGGAGTTGAAAATCCGAATCTCATTTTTCATGCTGATTAGTGCTGTTGATCTCCACACAGACTTGAGAGTAATGAAAGCTTGTCTTGCTTTCCCGATTCCCGTGCTTTGATATCCTGTAGTTGAAACGATGCTTCCTAGGTAGGTAAAGGAGGTAGTTTCTTTCAGGTTCCTCCCATTTATGCTTATTGTTGTATCTTGTTGCTGTTGTTGGTGTTGGCCAGGAATCTTCATCACCTCTGTTTTCTCTATGTTCACCTGAAGGTCTATCTTTGATGCCTCTTCTATCGCCGAGTTGTTGCTTTCCACTTGCATATCTTCCAGTTTGTGGGGAATCAGACATATATGACATCGGCGAAGTCCAGATCCTCGAAGTTACTTATTGTGTGGGTCCATTTTATGCCTGTCTCCTCATTGCGCGCCGCTGTCTGTCTACTGCAATCAGGAAAATCACTGGAGATAGTAAGCAGTCAGCTTGTCTTACTCCCGTCTTCACTTCGAAGGATTCCGTGAGTTTCCCGTTGCGGATTACTTGGCATGCAGCATTGTCGTACAACTGTTGGATAAGATGTATAATTGTTGGAAGAAGACATACAGAGACTAGCTATCTTTGACCACAGGTGTTTGTGAGATTTCATCGCTTTTGCTGCCTTCAAGGTGTATAATCTAGTGAGTAATATTGAGGTCCGGCAGAGGTATAAGATGGGGAAGTCAGTCGTCGGGTGGGTTGTCAAGTTGTATCGATTGATATTACTAGGACATATGTGTTACTACGCACGACAAACCATCATCTTCATTGAGTAATATTAGTTGATATAGGATTGATGGAGATGAGAAGTTGCATATCACTCATGTCAATCATTAATGCTAGCCAGATCGATATGTGGCATGACCAGTTCAATCAGTTAGCTAACCAGAAATCGACTTTTTTGAGCTGAGTTAAACACGGTAAGAAGTTCGGCCGCAAACGAGCAGAATAACTGTCCGGTGTTTTTTGTCACCTCGACCTGTCTGGCTAGCAAGCTCTACTGGTTGATATTGTAAGGATATAAGACAAGGGCCAGGCAACAGATCGCTTATTCAGAAAACCTAGAGATTTTTATCTACATTATTGTCAGTGGAGAAGCAACTTCTCCTGATTGGTTGTTTTCTTGCTGAAGGTTATTCTGTACTGCTTGTGACCGTTTCTTGGAAAGTTAAACCATGCATCTGCGAATCGTATTTGCACACGTCAAGTCTGCTGCGATTGGTTGTTGACTTCCTCAAGGTTAAGCTTTGTTATTGTATTTTCTCATGACCCCGATTTGGGACGTAAACATTGACGTAAATTGTTGTCTACAGTCTTGGCTTGCAGACAGCTTTCACCGCAATATGAGTGGTATGCAACTATTGTTATTTATTATTTTATTCCTTTGCGTTTCCCAGTGGAACATAGGGAGTCTTCAAGCTAGAGGCTTGAAGTTTCGGTAGCAGTGGTATTTATTTCTACGGGATGGGGTTGCTAGCCAGCTTCACCTAGCACAACCTTCCCACTTTACCAATTTTATTACTGGCTTAGCGAGGTAAAGAAGTGCGTCGGTGGTCGGGGATCGAACTCCAGAACACATGGGGCGTGGTTGGCTAGCATTCTAGCTCTGTGCCATCGACGTACGGTATGCAACTAGTCATCTCAATCAGTCAGTAGTATATAAATATAATTTTATGCAAACATGCTCGATTTCCAAAGGAAATTTTACCACTCGAACTGTGTAGATTGCCAATTGGTTAGCAATTTGCAAATTATGAATTCAACATAGAATTAGGCTGGAGAAAAGGGTTAGGGGTGTGTAATCAAACCAAAATCTGACATGAATCCATGAAGACTGAGTGTTGATGTGATGAACGAGGTAGTAGTAAAGTGTATGCTGACTGTCTTGAGCCAGTCCAAATGCTAAGAACCACTGTCTGGCAGCGACTGTTGGTAATATCGATAGAAATTGTTCTCGATGGTGCTGATGCACTCACAGTGACTTATGGAGTCCTAGATCCACCAAGTTCTCATTATCCTCCATGTAAATTATTCTTCCCGCTCCACCCTTTATATTTCCCTTTATTAAATAATTCCTTCAAAATTTTCTTTTCTATCTTCGTGTGGTATATAGAATGTGGCTTATTGGTGATGGATAACAGTATTTTATACGGTTAGCGCCTTTCGTTCTATTTTTAACCTGTCAGATGGATTCATCCACGACCTTTCAGTTATTGATCGATTGATTGATTGGTGGTCCTACCACTGTGACTCCAACCTCAGCACTTATCTTTCAAAATGCCGAATCAATATCCACTAGGGGACTTAGTCGTGAGGGGTCCACCTCATGACCCATATTGATGAGATGTTTGGCAATGACACTATTGTGAGAACGTTTATTCCCTTGGAAATCAACCTTTTTGGTACATGTTCACAGAATCGGAAGCGTATGTGACCTTTCTGTTCTCCCAATGTTACTGCTACTGCAGATAATACGTGTAAATTTGTATACACAGTAAGAGTAAACATGAGATAGGGTATCCGTCGACTTTTGATTGCACTAAGAAGCATGCTCTCCGATAAACGGGAACCCACTTAGCTGCAAGATAGGCTGTGGCTAGTCAGGTATTCAATATTCTGTTAACTATTGCTGCAATAGGTTCACTTTTAAAATCGAGTTGAATGAAGATAGGCTGTTTTACATCCCCTTTGTCTTTCCAACTTGTTAATGAATTTCTTAGGGTAACTGTAGTTTTCTAATAACTTTTTAAGCATCAGAAATTCTCCCTCTTATATTTCTTTAGAGGATATTCTCCTGACTCTATAATAAAATAGAGTTTTGACCAGTACTTGTTCATAGCTATTTGAAGAAGAAGTCGGTAATGGGTCACACCTATTTTTTGAAGACTAGGGATACTATCTTGCCGCCAAATTCCTCGGCTGCTGGGGCAGAATTTGAACCTATAGTTCATCCGGTAGTTTGACGTCGATCTCCGATACTCTAATGAGTTATGACTGAGTTGACTAATTTCTAGTAACTTAGTGGATGGTGACTAGCAGTGGAATCCACCAGGATGCGCACTTCGTCCCATTTGGGACTCTTCATCCAGCGGATGTACGTGCATTCCCTAATGAGTGATGGTGCTGTTCCCACTAAGGCTTGAACCCAGTACTCATTGTTTCTCAGATGCCAGGAAGTTATCCGCTAAACCACTGGGGAAAGTCCGAATCGCACAAGAGAGATGGCTGTCGGGGCCTATATAGTCTAGTGGATAACGCTTTGACCCCTTTGAAACGATGAGTACTGGGTTTGAGACTCATTGGGGACATCACCATTACATTATCACTGGAGAATGCAGGTACATTCGCTGGCTGAAGAGTCTCAAACAGGACGAAATGCGCATCCTGGTGGATTCCGCTGCTAGTTCACCATTCATCAGACAATCATCGAAGCATTCACAGAGGAGGGGGCCGACATGTCAACGTGAGGACAAACACTTTAGTCCAATCAATCAATGAGGGAATTCCAAACTGAATTGAATTGAATAATAAACTAACAAATTGGTAAAATTAGCATATTACGCATCTAAAATTTCATATTTTTCTTTTTTTCTTCTTTTCTTATTAGCTCTATGGTGTTGCATTGACATTTTATGAACCCTATGATCTTAAACAATTAGATTTACTCAAAGGCTATTGTTTAGGCTTGGATCCTGAACTTGTCAGTGCTATTATTTCATCTAATTCAACTACAGATACTATGCCTGCTACTACTGGTGCTGCTACCAATTTAATAATAAACAACCATGACTGTGCTGTTAATGAAGTAGTAGATGAAGAGGAGAAGGCGATCGCTGAACGTCAACGTCATTTTTTAGCATCACGTGTCGGTGATCGTGTGATTGGTGTAACAAAGACTATTTGTTTATTATCTCGTTGGTCGTTCACTTTACCATTTTCTAATTTTCTCGGATTTCTGTATAGTCGATGTTTATTATCAAATGAATTGAATTCTATACCGTTTGAACGGTGAGTAAATTATTATTATTATTGTAATTATCCCTTTACTTGTTATTTCTGGATATCTTTTAAAATGCTGGTCCACCGAGGGAGAGGGCTCTCGAGTGGTCGCGCTACAGGATGATCCTGCATGCCGTTCTCGTCTCGTAAGAGGCAGGGATGGGTGTGTTTGGTTCACCTGAAAACCAATACCCAGTCAATGGGTGTATCACTGTGTGAATTGCGTCGGTGGTATAGCGGTTAGGATGCCCACCGACCATGCACGTGGTCCGGGGTTCGATCCCCGGCCGACTCACTCCTTTACCTCGCTAAGGCAGAAATAATGCTGGTAAAGAGGAAAGGTTGGGCATGAGGCTAGCAAACCCATCCCATAAAATAAACACTGCTACAGAAAATTCAAGCCACTGCCTTGAAGCCCTATGTTCCACTGGGGAACGTGAAGGAAAAAAAACTTGTTATTTAATAGAGTTTATTGTTGTTTCTGCTTTAATGAATTTGTGTGTGTGTGTTGGGTGGATCATTGGTAGTAGAATGTACTTGACAGTCGGTCACATGGGAATTGTTCTGGGTTTTTCGATTCCCGAGGTTGATTCACCCCTGAGTCTGCTGTGCTAGTTGCTCGTAGTGAACCTGGAAAAAAAAGAGAAAGGTTAGGCATGCGCACAACTATCTAGATACACAAACTTGGTGACAACTTCAAACGGTTCACCTGTGTAAAGGTGCGGGAGTATAGCTACAGGCAGACAGGCTCTCCTGCATATACCATACTTACAGACACTGATCGCCAACTGATTAAGTGAATGCTACCACGCAGTAAAATGGTATCGTCTGTGTACATGAAGTCAAGAAGTATGTCTCCAGGAAGCAGATCTACACCACCACCATACACGTCTTTCAGAACTTATTCTAGAATGTCATCGATACCGAGAGAAATGGAGAGATTGGGCGGCAATCCTATCTAACCCTACTGTTGGTTGGGAACGGTGGTGATAGCTGGTTGTATGCACTCACTTTTCTTAAGATATCTCTATTCAGGGTTTCCAGGATGTTGAAAAACTTCCAAAGTACACCTCTCTCTAACAGACACTTCCAGATTGAGAGAGAGTGAAAGCAGTTCTGTCCAACGATTCGAGGCTGGCTCTAATATCAGGAAACACAACTATTTTTGGCCTTCATTACGTGTGATTGTGTTCCAACAACTAACTAATGAAGAGTGAACAAGTGATCAATGCATTCACGGCCTAAACGAAATCCAACCTATTCTTCACGAATCAGTTCGTCACGTGTTTTGCACAGTCTGCGTAGCAATATATCAGCCAATATTTGAAATGCTACTGGTGCCAAACTAATGCCTTCTACGGATGTCGTAGGTATTACACCAGCCCTTTTTTAAAGATGGGCATGATAAGGAAAGGTTAGGCACGAGGCTAGTAATCCCATCCTGTAAAATAAACACTGCTACAGAAACGTCAAGCCACTAGCTTGAAGTCCTATGTTCCACTAAGGAACGTGAAGGAAAAGAAATGATAATGAAAGGACATACGTGGCAGGGACTGTGAATCGTGACCAGATGAGATCATTTCAAGATAAAGTCCGGAGTCTACCCACTCTTGGTTGTACCAGCTCTTTGGGGCCATTATAGTCTATTTCATGTAACTAATCTACTATTTCAATAAGGAAGAAAAAGACCACATTTACAGTATATTATGATATAATTATTGTATTTCACAGGTTCTCATCAGCTGCAAACCATCTAAATTTACAATGGTTAAAAATAATAACAATAACATACTTATATGTTTGAATAGTAGTAAAGAAAAAATTATGAGATCAATGCATCCGAAATATAAGCATTACAGTTTTTGGTTTAAGTTACCATCAATTTATACGCTTTCAAAATAGAAAAGGAGGGTGGGGGTTGGGGAGAAAAGAAGATAGAAAGCACATCGGTTTACTTAGCGATTCAAGAAGGTTATAGTTCATAAAATTGAAAACTTTCATGTGGTTGTGTTCTCTGAGCTGGATAGTTAATTTGCAAAGCTTTCATCACCCTACTAGGTGACATCTTCAGTGCATACTTCAATTTGAAGTGAGCTTTTAGATTTCTCCACGAGCTTATTAATCATCTCTCCCGGTGGTGACCTTGGACGTGATTGGTTGTTTTTGTGTGTTTTCACACCTTCTAGGCACTTGTATTGGAACTGATTGTTTCTTTGACTTGAATTTTGACCCTTTTTGTGTGACGTTTCTTTCTTATCGGTTGATAAATTTTGTCTATCTCGATGTGTCTATTGATCGATGATTCACTGGAATGCCAAGCTTGTAAAAATTCTCTAGCATTCTTGTTGTTTCCTCTGTCTAATATTTGAACATTTTCCCAATCGAATTGATGCCCGTGGTTGTCTGTATGTAGTTATGTGAGGGAGTGGATATCATGTCTTTTGACAGCTAGCTTATGTTTGTGGGTACGAAGACGCAGGGGACGTCCACTTTGGTCAATGCAGTGTTTTTCGCAGTTGTTACAATTTATTTTGTAGATGATGTTGGTTTTATCTTCTTTCGCTGTTGAGTCTTTTGGTTGACACAGAACTGAGTGAAGTGATTTTGTTGGTTTGTGTGCGACGTGAATTCCTAAAGGTTTGACGAGTCTTGCAGTGATTTCTGAGATGTTTTTTACATATGGTAAGGCGATTTTCTTTGTGCTTTCCTTGGGGGCTTTTGCTTTTATAGGTTGGCTTGGGGTTATATGTCTTTTGATGAAATTTCGTGGATATCCATTTTTTTTGGAAGACGTCCATGGGATATCTCTCTTCAATTTTCCTTAAGGTGGGAAAATTGTATGTATGTATGTATGCAGAAACTAACTAGTATTCGATCAGCCTAACACACTAATCTTTGTATTCTTATGATTTCAAAGATGACTAGTGATAATTAAAGTCTAATATACTTCATTACCTAATACTGTCACTGGTTTCATCAATAATAAGTATTACGTTCACCCTTTTTTCCAAATTTTCTATTACCTCTCTCCTAAATCATTTTCTCTAGCGAAACATTTCTCTTTATGTCATTATTTGTAAATGTCGTCTTGTACAATTCCTGTATTCTTTTGATTTGATTTGATATATATACGTGATTTCAATATTGATGTCGTCACGAACGGGCATCATTTAGAGAGATTACTGAAAATCAGGGAGTTAGTACTAGTCAGCTGTTTTGGTACTAACTCATCATCGTCGCACACCCATAACTCTACCAGGGATCGGACCCAGGACCTTCAAGGCTCAAATGACTGAGAGTGACCTACGAACGACCTTGGTCTCGTAACCTAAAGGATGCGGATTCAATCTCTGGAAACAGAGGGGAAGGGTCATGGATGCTGTCATCACTGGAGAGAGAGAGTTTCAAACCCATGACGGAAAAGTTGTCCTATGATTCTCTGTCTGATGTTCTCTTTTGTGACGAAATCTATATTGAAATGCATCCAAACTCCTGCAGAAAGCCATAATCTCAATATACGTGTTTTTATTTTATTTTTTTGTGTTAAATTTTTGCAGATATTTAGGTCATTTCCTGTTCGAAATACCTTTCCCGAATCGTGCAATTCCAAGTGTATCAGTGGATGTAAGTAATCTTTATTTTTTTTCATAGTTTTGATTACCTTCTTCCACTCTGTTAGATGTACATTACTACTGAAATTACTATAGTCAGTAGTAAATCTAGACACCATCTCATTGTTTATTTTAAATTGTTTTTAGTTATCTATATACGAGACTATGAGCCAGTCAGTTGGCCAAGTTGAAGTGGGTAGCTAAGCTGCGGGACGCATACAGGTAGGTCTGAGGTGGTCAGGGTCCTATTTACCTGAAGCAAAATGCTTCAATCTTTCTTCAATGATGGGGATACTCACCAACCACGCTCGAAGTCCGGATTTGATTTGCCTGTCTGATGTGCTGCTGCTGATCGACTGTATCAAAGTCATGCCCAGTTGTTAAACCAGAATGCAACGAAATCTCAACATATGTGTGGTGTAAATAAAAGACAATTCAGCGGAGAAAATTTTCTTTTTTTCAAACAGAATCATCTTCAGAGGTTGTACAGTTGCATCTATAGATACCAAACATATTTAGTAGTCCATTATTGAATAATATGTGGGGAGTGACACTCAGAAGTGTGGCTTCAAAGGTAAAAATAAAAATTATAAATTACGTAATAAACAATGGCACAAAGAAAGAAAGGGTTAGAAATTTGATGAGTTTGAAATTATTACTGAGTGAGAAGAAAGGTAGTTGAATGGCCATTTAACCGAGTGTGTATAGGGTGAGAAAACGCACGAAAGGAACGTGTAAGAGTGGTAATAGTGAATCACCCAAGTAAAAGCAAATTCCAGGGAACAACTGATGAAGAGGTTAAGATCATGTTAGAATATGCGACTAGACAAACTTTTTCTGTATACAGAGCTTGGGTTTGTACTCATGAATCGCCGGCACTTCCTCCTCCACTATACACAAGTGCTGAAATCCGACACACTTTGCAGCCAATATAGCTAACTTCATAGGAACAAGATAATTTATAAACACACATTGAAGTGGCCCAATATTATATTATTATTGCTCCCTTGGGTTCCTAGTGGAACATAGGGCTTCAACTGCATGTCTCCACTTGTTTCTGTCTTCTGCTGTACTTTTCACCTGCATCCATGTTACTCCATACTGTTTCAACTCTTCTTCACACAATCTCCTTCATGTCACCCTTGGACGTCCCACTCGCCGCTTCCCTCTCGGTTTCCACTCGAGCGATGGCCTGACGCGCGATGTCACCCACCGGCCTCCTCAGCCAGTGAGTGTCCAATCCATCTCCACTTTCTCCTGCATATTTGTTGGGAGATTGGTTTTTGTTTCGTTTGTTCCCATAGTTTCTTGTTGGTGATTCTTTCCGGCGGCCATCTGATCTTGAGTATAGAGCGAAGACAGTTGTTGATAAAGGTCTGCAACAGGCTGTTGGAAATATTCTTTGTGACCCGCCAAGTTTCTGATCCGTATAGAAGAACTGACTTGACGTTTGTATTGAAAATCCGAATTTTGTTGTTGATGGTGAGTGACGAAGATTTCCAGATTGGTTTCAGGTTGATGAATGTGTTTCTCGCCTTCCCGACTCTCGATTTGACCCAAAGAGGCCCAAAGCGATAGTTTATCTTTCACTCATCCATTGACCACTTTTCGACTGTAGAAAATGATCCATAACTCAGCTGAAAATAAGACTTTTCTCAATGATCTGGATAAGCGGTTCTTCAGAATCTCACCTGCACTATCACATTCAACATTCAACATGCATAAACAACAGTTTCTTCGGCACCGTTTAAGTTCTTTCAAGCTTTCTCCTCACTTTTATGTTTTTTCTCTCGATATATTATGAAAGATATCCAGTTTCCATGAGGACTTGTCTGAGTCTCCCAAGTTCATCATCAATTGTATCACAATGACAATTTTAACCCTATATAATTTCTAACCCTTTCTTCCTTTGTACTGTTGTGTATTACATAATTCTTAATTTTACTTTTGAAGTCACTTCTGAGTAATTGTGTCAATTATTTCACTTCCTACATATTACTCAACAATCGACTACTACTGTAACAACAGAAGACAAGGGCCAGGCAACAGATCGTTTATTACGAAAAATCAACACGTATTTATAGATTTTTATGTACATTATTGTAGGTTAATGTTAGTAGTATATACAGTCTGTTGATTGGTTGTTTCTCACACAAATTTAACCTTGCATCTCTTGTGGCTGTGTCAGTTCATCTATATGTTAACTGTAACCGCCTGTCCACCTTGACCTTTGACCTCAATTACTGTCAACCAATTTGGCCAGCAACCATCTCTCACCACAACATGACTAATATTTGATACATAAACATTGACCGCAATTACTGTCCACCACTTGGCTAGTAGACAGCTCTCACCACACTACTACTACTATAGGGATCAGAGACTTGGCACCATGCCGCGTTACGGAAGGCACTTCGAACAAACTACAGACTTTCATCAACAGCTGCCTTCGCTCAATACCACTCAAGATCAGATGGCTGGTCAGAAAAGATCAGCAACAGGGAAGGATCTCTTTTGGGAGCGAACCAACCTGGCAGGAACCAAATGTGCAACAAATATGCAGGAAGAAATGGAGGTGGATAGGCCATATTCTGAGAAAACAAACCATCAAGTGAGTGACATCACATGCCAGGCCATCACTCGAGTGGAACCCAACTGGGAAGCAGCGAGTTGGTCGTCAGTGCGAGGGTGACTTGGAGGAGGTGATGTGAAGAGGAGATGAAAGCATGTGGGCAGACGTGGAGTCAGGTGATGAAAACGTTGGCAGAGAACTGAACGCAATAGAGACGCGCGGCTGAAGCCTTATGTTCCTCTAGGAATTAAAGGAAATAATAATAAATATATATGCGTAAATGGTGAACCGATAAAGCAAACATTCCTCGCTTTAACGTTTTGTGTACAAATTTACGTCTTCTCTGCACTATGACCACCTGTCCATTACATTGCTTCTAATAATAATCAATTAGGTGTGTAAACTAAGCAGCATTACATCTGCTGCCGTCATTAATCTTGTTCCACAACTACAAAGTATGGCATATATTGTGAATTTAGTGAAAACTAGGGCGAAAGTGGTTAGAACATTAACGCTACTACTGAAAATAGTTTTGGATAGTGTTATTCGAAGACGGAGATTATCTGGAATATGTGGTGTGGTGTATTTGCGCAATACATTTCGAACAATCTGATCCCTCACACATTTACTTGTCAAGTCGATATATATATGTGAAAAAATTAAGGGCAATTAAATTAAACAAAATGACAAAAAAAGGATTTAAGAATGATTAACGCAACGTTCGGTAATCCAATCAAATAAGGATTACCAAGGTAGGTGAAGAGTAATAATAAATTGTAGTATTTTGAACACACGGGGAGGTGTCTTAACTTTATGAATAGCTATAGCCTCAGCGTATTGCAATAAGGCGCTTATTGACATACGCCCTTGGCCATTTTTATAGATGATCTTAAAGGCTGAGTTAACATGAATCTTATGGTTCATGTCGATTAGATGTTAAGCTATGGACGAAGTTGGTAGTGTGACATCTGCGTCTATTGGTTTTCCACAATTTATTTGTTTTTCTAACCATTTCGGGATATCCTCTCCCACCCTTACATGCAAAGCACGATTACTCCTTCCTATGTATGTATGTCCACACACACACACACACACGAAAATTGGTAAATTGTATGGGATGTGATATAATCACTTGTGCACTTTTGAGGTTTACAGTAGAGCATATTTTTAGCTTTTTTGACAATTACAAGCTGGACTGCATAATAGGTTCTACGGATGATCGAATTCAACCTTTATCTCAAAACCCTACTGTTTATTTCCCCGTTATATGGTAATTTAATGAAAACATTTTTACTTAGGGGTGGTATAGATTGTAGGTTTAAAGACTAATTGACTTTTACACCTGTTTAAAATTTTTTAAGGATATCCGTTTTCAACAAGAGTATCCATCAATATTTCATTTTCTTTGTCTATAACATCAGCCGTGCAAAATACGTTGAATCCTCTTAAATAGACATTTCACCAAGCCTCTCTTATACTGTAATAGAGACAGAAACTGTGAAAATTGCCCTGTCCAAGTGGGCTTTCTGTAGATAGACCGTCTTATTGAACCATCATCTCTTTCCGACTCAGAAGTCTGTCTAAAAATGCAAACTGGTTGCGACTTTCTTCTTCGGTGACCTTGGTAATCCTTATTTGATTGGATTACCGAACGTTGTGTTAATCATTCTCAAATGCTTTTTTTTCTGTCACTTTGTTTAATTTAATTGCCCTTAATTTTTTCACATATATATATCGACTTGACAAGTAAATGTGTGAGGGATCAGATTGTTTGAAATGTATAGCGCAAATACACATCACATCACATTTTCCAGATAATCTCCGGATAACACTATCCAAATTTATAAAAGGGACTAATTGTTTTAAATTTTTGAAAAAAATAGTTTTATAACATAGTGGTAGTTTTGATATAAGAATAAAACTTGTGCACTGTGGTAGAGTGTAATTCCATTATGGGTAAATTTTTTATTTTGATTAAGTCTCACAGTGTTATACAGTAATATTTACTGATGACGTTTCGAGCACAATTTATTGCTCATAATCATATCAAGGTAATCACACGACTTTCTAAATTCATTTATGTAGTTCTTGACACACATAAACTCACCAGTGGAGGGAATAAATTCAAATTTGAAGCCGAAAATGAACATGGAGAATTAGCTATTCTAAATTGTAAAATAAAACGAATAGAAGGAGGCAAACTATACACTGGTGTTTATAGAAAACCAACGTATTCTGCTAATAGATATTTAGACTTTAATTCATCTCATCCTTTAACTGTTAAGGCAGGCTTAGTTAAGTGTTTAACAAACCGAGCAATGGCACTAAGTAGCACAAGAAAGACCTTAATGATGAAATAAAACAGATAGAAGAGGCGTTGGTTCTAAATAACTATCCTCTAAAATCCATTAGGAAGATTGAAAAAGGCCAAAAGCAAAATAAAAATAATTGTGAAACTAGTAATAATAACATAAATAAGAGAGAATATAAGTCATCCATTGTAATACCATACAAGGAGGGGACATCTGAGGCCCTACGTAGGATTCTCAATAAAGCAGGAATTAGGGTGGCATTCAAACCTACAAACTCACTCAGATAGGACAAGCTCTGTAGGTTAAAGGACCCATTTGACCCAATTAGACAAAATAATATAATTTAAAAAATACCTTGTAATGACTGTGAGGTCAACTGTATGGGTCAAGCTAGTAGATCGGGGGTAATCAGATTGTCGTAACATAAGAATTTAGCGAAGGTAAGAATGGTTTACCCCGAGAAGATAAGTAATTTAGAAAAAAGCTCAGCAATTGTAATGCATGCATTAACACACAACCACACAATAGGGTGGGAGAGGGTTTAAATTCTAAAAAGTAATCTAGGTAGGTAGGTGGAGAGAGAGGTTGATTACTGAATCTTTGTCCATGGAATCTACACCCAACACATGCAATAGGAATGATTCATCACTCATACCCGAAATATGGAAAATATTATTACCAATCAAATCAAGTGAAAAACAATGGAACTATATAAATGAATTTGGGAAGTCGTGTGATTACCTTGATATGATAATGAGCAATAAATTGTGCTCGAAACGTCATCAGTAAATATTAGTGTATAACACTGTGAGACTTAATCAAAATAAAATTTACCCATAATGGAATAGTAGTAGTTTTGTAGATGAGATGAGATTTGCTACAGGTCATCTGTGAAGTATAAATTTGTATGCGTTTGGCTAGATTTACAATAAATTCTTATTCTTAATCACACATCACTCGATATATCTATATATATCTTTTGTTAAGTAAATTGATTTTGTTTTCTTGTTCAACGACTATGCTTACATACATACATACATTCATACATTTCTAGCTGTGTGCTGCGCCAATTCTTCTTCAACGTCCAGACGATACGAATGCGTCTTCTTCAAGGTAGGCGTTGAGTGAATATCATACTACTTTTCTGTTGAATAATAATTTTTATATTTCCTTCACGTTCTCCAGTGGAACATAGGGCTTCAAGCCAGTGACTTGAAGTTTTTGTAGCAGTGTTTATTTTACGGGATGGGGTTGCTAGCCTCATGCCCAACCTTTCCTCTTCACCAGCATTATTTCTGGCCTAGCGAGGTAAAGGAGTGCGTCCAGTGGCCGGACGATGTGCATGGTCGGCGAGCGTCCTAACTGCTGTGCCGCCGACCTACTTGTTGAATAATAATTATTATTATCATTATCATTATTATTGTAATAGTAATTCACTCATTTTATAATATCAGGTAGGTTACAATATATAAACAGACATTCTCTTCTCTGATCTCGTTACTTTAATTGCACAATCATCATTCCATTCGATCAATATTGTGCAAACCAAAAGACCGATCCAACAGAAAAAAAATACAAAGAAGATAAAATTAATACCCTTTTAGAAAATGAATTGCATATATGCACTGCAATAATCATTACTACTCAACTCAATGGTCTACAAAGTAAAAGTGAACGTCCCCTTCGAATCTTAAATCATGAACAAAAATTGACTGTGTCTGATGATATTAGATAGTTAGAGGCAATCGGCCACAGGAAGCCTTGCCGGGACCCAGGTTTCGTGCTAGTTGGCACTCACCAGTCAGTCAGCAAGGCGTATCTGTGACCTTGAAGGAACTCATGTCCCCCTTCTGAGTTTCGAACCCGCGTCACCCAGTGTTGCCTGCAGTCCGAGACAATGTTACCACTGAGCAGCTATTCGGGCTCGCGATTGACCTCCTTCATGTAGGACTGTAGTGGGTAGTTTGATTGGACACTAGTAACTAGTGTGACGTGTCTAGTCCTTTCTTTGGTGCAGACTGAATTCTGTCACCCCTAGTGCTGCAGTCAGAGACGACGTTACCACTGGGCTATGGGCGTCTGAGCGGAAACATGTGCTTTAGTGCTTAAAGGTCGAACGCTCGCCAACTACACCCCATGTGGTCCTGGGGTTCAATTCCCGGCCACCAACGCACTTCTTTACTCCATTAAGCCAGTAGTAAGATGACTGGTAAAGCGGAAAGGTGAGCGTGAGGCTGTCTAGGAACCCCATTCCGTAGAAATAAATACGACTGCTACTGAAACTTCAAGCCTGTAGGTTGAAGGTGCCCTATGTTCCACTGGAAACGTAAAGGAATAAAATTAAACTAAAAAAAACACTTTTGGTGGGCTTCTCTTCTTCTCTACGACAGTTATCACTCCTGATGATTACGATCACACTTTATGCAGTTTTTTTTTATGAATCTTTAAAGTTAAGCAAGTCGTAGCTAAGATTCGTATATATATATATATATATATATATATATATATATGTTGCTACATGGCTCCTCTCACAGCTGTGAGTTTATTTATTCCTAATGCACAGAAGAATTATAGAAAATCCATATCTTTAGAGTCTCATGACATTTTATAGAATTTTTGTTCTCAGACGGTAAAAATATTTTTTCTTTTAATGATTAGTTCTTATCTTTGTTTATTATTATTGTTATTATTATTTTTATTATAACGTGGTAGGTAGTATTCACTACCGATCAATATTGAATAATAGGTGGATACCACGAGCAACCATCAGACAGTAGTAGTAGTAGTGGTAGTAGTACGCTTGCCAGCTAGTTTGAAGTGATGTAAACACCGTCTGGCTATGTTTCACTCGCCTCGGCGCTGGGAACCAAATCCGTTGAATGCACTTAAATATTATTATGGTTAATTACTTGGGAGAATCTTTTAAGTTGAAACAATAACTACTACAGTTACTGGAGGAGTGTCAAAGCTTCAAGCGTTGGGGGAAGAGCCCTATGCTCCATTTTTGAATGGAAAAGAAAGATTTTCTTGGTGAAAGTAGTAGTAGTTGTTGTTCTAGGATGATAACAGCTGACACCACGAAAAACCGTTTCAGAATGATCTTGACGGAGGTGATCTATAACCTACACTTTACTCTGCTGATTTACTTTTACAATTTTACAATTTACGTGTAGGGTTAGTGGTAAAGCGTTAGATTAAGTTTAAGGTTAGGTGGAGATGAAGGGTTAAATTATAGAATGGTTAGGGTTAGGAATGAGACTAAGTTCAGGGGTTTGCTTGTGGGAGAATTATTTCCTTAACGTTAGTGTATACTGTCTGTTTTCGACATAGAATTTTGCACATATGTGCAGCAGTTCAAGTCGCCACACTCCCTTTTTTGTAGCACACAAAGCAAGAGAAGAAAGTAGAAGAAATGCATATCAGAGACAGTAAACAGAGGTGTGAGACAAAGGAATAGCAGTAACGAAGAACAAAACAGTTTCATTGGGTATTATAAGTCACAAGGAGTGGATGCATCTGCGCTAGTCGTCGGGAACGATTTATAGCCATGTCACCAATTGTTTCCAACCATTTGTTTTTACCGTCCCGCGGACCCCAACCAGGAAGTCTACACCTTCCTATGTGGCCTAGACTAACTGTTGTAGATTTCATTGACTGGTGCGATGTTTCGGTTTGACCGCCACTAGCTCTTTTCCAGCATACGTGACACATGTCCTAACCATCTCAGTCGATGTAGCTTCAAAGCCTCGTCGATTAATTTCCCCTCCTTACCTAGCACTCGACACCTAACCTCAATATTGCTCACCATATTATACCACTTTATGCGGGAGAGAGAACGCACGCACCTATGATCAAAGACAACTAGTCCTTTCATGTCTTCCATTCTCAATGGCCATGTCTCGCTCACAGACATAAAGGAAGACGGAGCGGACTGCTGAGCATTACACACGCCCTTTGATCGATAGCCAGCTGGATATCATGTCTACTCCAGAGACGGTGTAAACTGGCATATGCGAAACTAGCTTTGTGTATCCGTTCTGAGATTTCGTCAGTGATCAAGTCGTTTGGGCTGATGTTACTTCCCGAATAAGAGAAGCGGTGAACGTGCTCTACAACTTCACTTCCTATTTCTAATCTAGGGGTCGGTGTAGTCCAATCCTGTAGGATCATCTTGCATTTGGCTGGAGGGAATCGCATGCCAAACATTCGTAGATTGTAGCTTAAGGCGTTCAGTAGACTCTGTATTTTTTCAGCGTCCTCTCCTAGAAGGACTATATCGTCTGCATATTCTAAGTCAACGAGATTATTCCCTGGTAGCAAGTCAATCCTTGAGTCGCTGAAGTGAGTTAGGGTTAAGTCCATTAGTACATCTATGAAGTATGCTCGAAATATTACCAATAACAAAACTTATCATTGTGTGTGTGTAAACTATTGAAATATCGTTCTACTTAGTTAGGCTTTAATTACTAGTTATTTATAGGCTAACATTATTAATGAGGGATTTATAAAACTATACAGCTTCCTGAAGAAGTTATTTTATGTTAATTCTTCTTCTCCTGTTTGAATAAATTATTGGGGATTCACTGATTCTTATTATAAAAAACCTTTGTGTATTACTGAATGAATGTCACATAGGCAATGCATAGATTTTTCCAAACGATCAAATCTGCACTTGCTTCGAATATACATAAATTATGGGGATATTTAAATTTCTAAGCCCTAATAGCTTAATCTTCTCAGTCATTTCATCACATAGCGTGAAGTGTGTGTTTATCTCAGTGAAAGGAAAATAGTGGATATCAGAGATTTAAAAGTATGTGTGTGTGCACAGTACTAACTGAATATCAATCAGTTAGATCAGATCATTAAAAGCCTTTGAGTACTGTAAACACTTCCTTCATCCTCGTTTGACCTGACACTCTTTGACGTCAGGGTTCAGATCGTCATCACTATTACTACTACTGTTGTTGAGCAACAATCTTCGTATGTTTGGCATGCGATTCGCCCCTGTAAAATGTAAGATGATGCTGCAGGATTGGACTACACCGACCCCTAGATTAGAAATAGGAAGTGAATTGGTAGAGCATGTTGACTGCTTCACTTACTTGGGAAGTACCATCAGCCAATGCCAACAGGTTGATCTCCGACGAAATCTCAGCTGAGTACGGATACAGAGGGCTAGTTTCGCATATGCCAGTTTACGCCGTCTCTGGCGTAGACGTGATATCCGACTATCGACCACAGGGTCGGTGTACTGCTCATCAGTCCGCTCCGTCCTCCTTTATGGCTGTGAGACCTGGCCATTGAGAGTGGAAGACATGAAAAGATTAGCTGTCTTCGATCATAGGTGCCTGCATTCTATCACCCGTGTGAAGTGGTATAATAAGGTGAGCAATATTGAGGTTAGGCGTCGAGTGCTAGGTAAGGCGGGGAAATCAGTCGACGAGACTGTCAAATTACATCGACTGAGATGGTTAGGACATGTGTCACGTATGCGTAGTAATCGCCTTCCTCGACACCAGGAAATGTTAGCTGACATAGGGTCGGTCAGGCTGGAAAAGAGCTAGCGGTGGTCAAACGAAAACATGGCACCAGTCAATGAAATCTACAACAGTTAGTCTAAGCCACGTAAAAAGGTGTAGAGTTCCTGGTTGGGGTCCTCGGGACGGTGAAAACCAATGACGCCTGCAGACAATCGGTGATATGGCTCGAAATCGTTTCCGACGACTAGCGCAGATGCATCCACTCCTTGTGACTCATAATACCCAATGAAACTGTTTTGTTCTTCGTTACTGCTATTCCTTTGTCTCACACCTCTGTTTACTGTGTCCAATATGCATTTTTCCTACTTTCTTCTCTTGTTTTGTGTGCTACAAAAAAGGGAGTGTGGCGACTTGAACTGCTGCACATCGGTGCAAAGTTCTATTTGGAAAACCGACTGACCTACCGACCATCTCTTTGGACTTACTAAGGAATACAGTCGCTAGAGTTCTCCTAGTGGTGGTGAATCACGATCAGCGAGATCAACCAACAAACTCTGCGTTTAAGCACAAATACGCGTTTTTGACATTGGCTGGAGATATTACTATATATTAGCACAATTTTTCAAATGCTGGGATTAATGGAACACTGATTATCACCCCCCTCATTGGCTAAATGTTTAACACGTGAGTGTCTTTGATTCAATCGCTGAAGACTCCTAAACTAGGACGAAACACCGATCCAGTAGTTTTTCTAGTTTAGCAGAGGTTCTCAGACTTATGTCTTTTCGTGATCAAAATTGAAATGGATGCTTTTTATTATTATTATTATTTTTGTTAGGTGTTGGTTTGCAGAAATTCGATTGCTTGAAGGATTCACAATGAGTTGACATCACAGTTAGAGAATCATTGGGAACTACAAGGCAGTACTGGACATATGTCTTGTCCCAGTTTGGGACTCCTCACCAGTACACACACACACACTGGGGTTTGAACCCAGGACAGGATCTTCTGGTTACAAGGCGAGGCTGTAAACGATTCGTCCACTAGGAGTGGATCCGATGGCCAGCCCATGAATTTTAACTTCTGCCAATTTGTGGTATGTATAACGCAACAGCCAGACAATGACATACGCAAGTGATGGTTCTCTTATCAGACTTAGTGAACCCCACTGGTTACAACTTCCTGTATAGAGCCAACCAGTCACAAGCGACCATCAGATTAATTATCAAATGCTGGTTAGCTTGCTCACCGATTTGATCACCTTATAATCGGCAGGTCTTTGGTTTGAACCCTGTTGTGGGCGCACTGATGAAGAGACCCAAATGAGGACGAAACAAATGGTTGTTCAGTACTGCTTCCTGGTGGTTTTCCAATCGGTTCTCTAACTGATGTCAACTCATGTAACTTTTTTATTATTATTATTATTATTATCCTATTATTGTAGCATATTGTTATTTTAATTCTTCTTTATTTGGTTTTTACAGTTGTGAATCATTCTTCCGTTTATTAGATAATTTAAATGTCGATGTAATTATTCAATTATTTGTTCAATTACTTACTGAACAGAAAATTCTTATGTCATCTGTACGACATTCAGTATTGAGTGATATCGGTGAAGCCTTGACATGTGTAAGTGTTCACATTATCTCTTTATATATACATACATATGCACTTGTGCTAATTATTGATTTTTGAGCGGTGTTCATCGTCTACAAATAGTACATATTTAGACTTAAGTTTTCTGCAAGAGATTCTGCATGTACCAGGCTGTGACTAAATAGTCTACTAGCTTGATGCCTTGTAAATGGAAGTTCCTGGGTTCGAATCTTGGTCGATGGCGTGTGCGTACTGCCGATGAGTCCCAGTCTACTAGGACGAAACAGCTGACTGTCTACTACTCCCTGTGGCTGGTTTTCAATACTTCGCTAACTGATGTCGTCAATCCGTGGTCAAACTTGAATTAGATCAAGTCTCTATGAACTAACACTTGAAAATTGTATATGTGTATTTTTCTCTCCTCAGCGCCTCTGATATTCACTGCAATTTCCCCCGTATGTCGAGTATAGGCGTTGGGTCATTTCACTTGCACATGTTATGGTGTTAATTCGATAGAAAAAAAAAAGATTTCAGTGATTAACGACGATCTTTTTCTCCGTCTAGCTGTATTACTTTCCTTTTATCTTCTCCATTTCTTTTGTGTGATTACATATTGAGGTTAGACATCGGTTGAGTGCTAGGTAAGTCAAGGTGTTAAAATCAGTCGATGAAGTTGCGATGTTACATTGATTGCGATAGTTAGGAATTGTGTTACGTATGCTTAACCTGTCATCGCCTTCCTCCACAATGGGCAATGTTACCAGAACATAAGACGGGAGAGAGAACGCAGACACCTTCTATTAAAGACAGTTAACTAGTCTTTTCATACCGAATTGCCTATGAACGTGTTTTGGCCACCATCAACCATGGGAATGTAGCTCCTGACTCTGCTCCACTTCCTTGTGGATCCGACTTCAAGTGAAAGACTCAGAAGGGGAGTGGTGGTGGCGGTGGTTGCCTCTTAAGACAACCAACTGTTTCCGCTCTCAGTATCCGGGTAGTGTCCTAGTCCTCATACAAACGATGGTATTTCTTGTGGCTCATTTCTTGGCTTCCATATTGTACTAGGCTTGTGTTTTTGTAGTAACCATGTCTGTCTGTTTTCGATATAGAACTTTGCACATATGTGCGGCAGTTCAAATCGCCACACTCCCTTTTTGTAGCACACAAAGCAAGAGAAGAAAGTAGGAGAAATGCATATTAGAGACAGTAAACAGAGGTGTTAGACAAAGGAATAGTAATAACGAAGAACAAAAAAGTTTCATTGGAAATCATAAGTCACAAGGAGTGGATGCATCTGCACCAGCCATCACTGAGAACGATGAGTTTGAGCCATGTCACCGATTGTTTCCAACCATTGGTTTTTACCGTCCCGAGGACCCCAACCGACCAGGAAGTCTACACCTTCCTAAGTGGCTTAGACTAACTGTTGTGGATTCCATTGACTGGTGCCATGTTTTCGTTTGACCGCCGTTTGCTCTTTTCCAGCCTGACCGACTCTATGTCAGCTAACATTGCCCATTGTCGAGGAAGGCGATGACCAGGGATGCATGCGTAACACATGTCCTAACCATCTCAGTCGATGTGGTTTCACAACCTCGTCGGTTGACTTCCCCTCCTTACCTAGCATTCGACCGACGCCTCACCACAATATTGCTCACCTTATTATACCACTTCACACGGGAGATAGAACGCACGCATCTATGATCAAAGACAGCTAATCTTTTCATGTCTTCCACTCTCAATGGCCAGGTCTCACAGCCATAAAGGAGGACGGAGCGGACTGTTGAGCAGTACACACGCCTTTTAGTCGACAGCCAGCCGGATATCATGTCTACACCGGAGACGGCGTAAACTGGCATATGCGAAACTAGCTTTGTGTATTCGTGCTGAGATTTCGTCGGAGATCAACCCGTTGGCGTTGGCTGATGGTACTTCCGAAATAAGTGAATCGGTCAACGTGCTCTACCACTTCACTTCCTATTTCTAATCTAGGGGTCGGTATAGTCCAATCCTGTAACATCATCTTGGATTTGGTGGGAGCAAATCGCATGCCAAACATTCGTAGATTGTAGCTCAAAGTGTTCAGAACACTCTGTTTTATTTTCTCAGCGTCCTCGTCTAGAAGGACTATATTGTCTGCATATTCTAGGTCAAGGAGATTATTCCCTGGTAGCAATAATAATACAATAACAATATTACTGCAGTTACTAATAATATCATAACACAGAAAAGTATTTTTGTAATTATTCAGGTTAATATTCGCTCAAAATGTTATATCATAAGAATAATAAAAAGTTGTTAACGATTTAATGTAGAGAGAGAGAGTGTGTGTGTGTAGTTCCAGTCACAAGCGTGTTCTCATCTGAATGAATATACTTGTTCATCTATGTGTGTGTACTTTTATTATCGTTGCTATGGTTAACGTTGTATAGAATTCCATGATTTTCTTTTAAGATGAACATTCTAGTTTATTGTCGAAAATGATAATTAAGCAATTAAATATTGTTTTCTTACTACTGCTAGGGATAATATGCCCTCTTTCACACACACGTCCACTCACAATACAAGAATGCTGAAACTTGGTTGTATCACTTTTGTCTTACATATGCGAAAGTTATTCAACCCGTGTGTGTTATATAAGAATTTCAGGGTAATATGATCTATGTGGATTGGTTATGTAAGTAGGGTTATTGCTTTCCAAGGATAGTATTTTTGCATGTAGATTCAATCCGGTATCCAAATACATGTCAAGAGTTTTTTTGGTTGAGGCGGGGCGGGCGGGGACTAAATAATTGCCTCAGTCCCTTAAAATTCTGTTAATGATTTCAAAATATTAGTTAAGCAATTATCTGGAATATGTTTATCATCTCAGATCTGCAACATTTTTGATTAAACTATCATTTTCAAGTTTGCCCACGGTTTGATATCAGTTGGCGGACCATTGACAACCAGCAGGGACGATATGACAGCTGTTTCATCCTACTTTGGGACTCATCGACAGTATGCACCCACCTACCATCGAGCAGGAGTCAAACTCGAGACCTCCTATTTACAAGGCTATCGAGCTTGTAGACCATTCAGCCACTGGGACCCGACTCAATGACCAGCTCATGAGTTCTGGCTTTTAACAATTCGTGCTTTCAGCGTGATTAACAGTCGAGTATTTGTCCTCACTCCCAAAACCTGATGGGTACGTACTGCTGATTAGTCCCAAAGTAAGACGAAACAACTGGTTGCTCAGTACTCCATGCTGATTTTCAATGGTTCCCCGGCTGATATCAATCTGTGATCAAACTTGAAAATTCTGGTTTCATCAAAAATGTTGCGAATTCGATGTAATTGTGAGGTCAACTACATAGATAATTCAGACCATTATTATTATTATTGCTATTATTCCCTTGGGTTCCTAGTGAAACATAGGGTCTTTAAAAGCACATCTCCATTTTGTCTTGTTTCCTTTGGTCCTCTTTACCTTACCCCACAGGATCGCCCGTAGTCTTTTATCTCCTCCTCACACGATCTCCTCCATGTCAACCTTAAAGTGTGATGCCCAACTCATCGTTTCCCATTTAGGCTCCACTTAAGGTGTCTGTCTGGTGCTCGATGTCATCCAACTGTCTTCTAAGCAGAGTTCTCTGTTGGGAATTCTTTTGTGGTCGGCCATCTGACCTTTAGATCAGTAGATTTGGGTTATAGTCAGATTATTTGAACAACTTGAACTTAAACAAGTTCCACTAGTGAGTATCAGATTAATTTTCATCATGAGCTGACATCAGTTAGAGAACCACTGGAATACTGGACAGCCAGCTGTTTCGTCCTAGTTTGGGACTCTTCAGCAGTACGTATCCACCACCGCCAGGATCCGAACTTCAGGACTTCCCGGTTACAAGTCTAGTGAGCTCATACACCATTCAGCCAGTCACTGGGACACCATCCGATCCAATAGCCAGCCCATGGATTCTAACTTCTGCCAATTCACGACATAGCGCGACCATTTCGCAATGTCTTCTTCTTCTTCGATGAGTTACTGCCTCATCTTCAGTATCAGGTTAATTCAAAACAATTAGGCTTCTTTTAAATTATTAATTTGAATAATGTTATCAGAAGATCGAGATTATCTGGAAAGTAATGTGATGTGATATATATTTGCGCAATATGCACTTTGAAGAACAATCTGATCCCGCACACACACACACACACACACATACACACATTTACTTTTCAAGTCAATTTATGTGAAGTAGTAAAGGTCAATTAAAAATAAACAAAGTGACAGAAACGGATTTAAGAATAAGAATAATGCGAATAGTGAGCACTATGCTGCTTTGGTTATGTAATCATTAGAATAAGGATTAGCAAGGTATTTCAATAAAGGTACAAGGGCGATAGCGATTCGTAAAATTAAGCCTTTTACCCCTATCTGTATGCACAGAAATAAATTTATTGTCACTCTTAACCTACTTTGATAATTTTAATTCGACTAGATAACTAACACGTTCTTGTCACTTTGTTTATTTTATTCGGCCTTTTATTTTTCATAGAAATTCACATGACAAGTAAATGTATATATATATATATATACATATATATATATATAAACATATATATATATATGTGTGATCAGATTGTCTGAAATATATTACACTCACATAAATCACATTTTTCTGAAAAATCCTAATGGAGAACGAGTCTAGCATTCATTTTCTCGATGTGAACTTATCAAGGAGGACCGATGGAACTCTAAAGAGATCGATTTATCGTAAGCTGTCATGGAATGGTCAACTGACAAATTTCTACAGCTGGGTACCGATTGGTCGAAAACGAAACCTGATCCGGTCGCTTACCACTGTGGAAGATGAGTTATACATCTTGAGGAAAATCGTAATAGAAAATGGATTTCCACCACGTTTTATAGATAAGAATATACATTCAAATCCTAAAAAAAGTGACTTATCAACCGTACCCAAGGAAATACTTTACATGAGCTTGGAATTCAAAGGGGACTTAGCTTCCGATATCATGAAACGACG